CGCCATTTTCAATCCTAAGGGACGGAACTTCCGGCTCTGCGACTCAAATCACTCCAATAGGTCTAGGGAACATATGTTCCAAGTGGCACAATTTTAATACGAAATGCCGAATAATACCAATATTTATCACGAGCCGCTCCCACTAATAAGCATGGTTAAATCTTCTACGAAGGGTTGCATTTATCACCATATTCCCCACAAAATGTCCGGAATGTTTCTCAATTTTTACATCGCTTTTGTGACTTCCATGTACGGCTATCGAATGTTTCATACGTCACTAACTGACCGACGAAGTTTTTACCTGTTGCATGCACATTGCAAGGGTAAGAATAGTATGCCATGAAGGCAATAGTACAGATGTAAATATACTCTGTGGTGCTCCAAAATTGTTTTCGGTTCCAGAATGTAAAACTACAAAACCCCCAAAGGGCTAACGCGATATCTTTTAAACGTTGTTACATATCTGTTGTAAATTAGCAATATAATAAATTACTTGAAAAATATCAGCTATAGGTAGTGCTAGCCCTTTAGAGGCTTCGTACAAAACTGATGCTTCGTACTATAACCGGAAACGTCCCCTTTTGTCCGATTAGGTTAAAATAAGCGTACCAACAAACGAACAATTTATATCAGAAGAGTGGTAACTGAAAACCGTCACCTTCATTCACACTAACGGCCAACAAAAGCAAATGTTGCATTTCTGTCAGAGACGGGATTGTGGAATTTTTCAAAACGAATGAAACTAAGAGAAATCGTAGTTCAACGAAATGTGAAATAAGGGACAAATAAAATAAAAAGCAAACGTTAAGCAAAGACAAGTATAAATGGTGTAATATAAGTACGGCGAAATGACCTGAGAGCTCGTTGTATTACGTGTAAATATTTGATAGACAGCTTGTATAATATAACCGTTTTAATGGAGTTGGTGACGTTTTGCAAATGACTGCAGGCATTATACATAAATAAAGTGGAGAAACTTGACCGCAAAGACACTCCACAAGAACGACTAGGTAATTCTGTCCAACGACACATGTATATGAGAAGATTAATGATGTGAGAAGTTGCCCCTTTGCTACGTTAAAAGTAGCGCGAAAGGGATTTTACATGGAGTGTTTGTAAGCCAAGCAAACTTTTCCAAGGGGTTTCAAGTTTTCATTAAATTATACTTTTTCGCTTCATAAATCTGAATTGGAATATTAAAAATAGTAAAAAGCGAGCACTTTTTAATCTCATACCATAATTTAATTTACAATTCACTTAGATCTAGCTCAGAAATCTGTTGCTTAATTGCAATGCGCTCGTGTTCCCCATGAAAGCGGAAAACAAATCGAGTCGAGTCCCTTTCATGCAAACACTCGTTCTTAGAGAGAAAATTTTAGTGAAGTTAGTCAAAGTTAGGACACTTTATTACACTCAATCCACAACTTAAAGATAAAATCTGAAATTAAAAGCCCTGTAAATGTATCTCTTATAATGTGGAACTCTATGGAAATTGTTGAAATAATTTTTGCTGCCCCTGAAGTGAAAACTGCGTGGCGACATTCGCATAAACCAGATATTCTTCACCAGCCCCTTATATGTATTTGATAGGTACTGTGGATAATTCTCTTACAGTAGAATATGTGCAAATGAAGAAAGGTACTACTAGATTCATCAAGAATTCACGGAGGATTAAAATTGGATGGTTTGGATACACCTGGTTCAATCGTGAATAGATTTCCAGCCTTCTTCAAGAGCTCTTACAAATTATCGTTAAACTCCTCTATGTGAATCAACTTATTCTGGACGAAATTGAAAAGCAACCTAAATGTTAAAAGGCCTTTGGTCGAGTCCACCACCAATTCCTAATCAAGAAACGACATTTTTTAGTAAGCAACCCTCTCCTAGACCTACTCGTACCCATTTGCCTGCAACGGATGATACACAATAGGGTCCCAAAGTTTTATAACCACATATGGGAGCCCCCAAGGGCCAATCTTGGTCCACCCTTGTGTTTGTGAATGATCTACTTGGGCAGTATTATAACAAATTGATACTACTTTAAAGCTCTTATTACACCTTCAGGGCCTTTAAAGGTCTTTACGAAATAAGAGCTTTTAAAAGATTTGTTGATTATTATTCTCCAGTAACCATATGTTTTTTTATTCATACGTTTTCATTGATTTCCGCAGCCTTTATGTTGCCTTCAAATCCTATAACAGGCTTTAGAGTAAATCCATACAGAGACGTTCAACGCCTGCAAAGTATTCTAAAGACTTTCTAGAGTCCTTAAAAGTACTTAAAAGGCATGTTATACTCTAATAAAAAGTGTGTTCAGACCTGACCGTCTGCCTGCTTTTATAAATCCTGAAAGTGTTTGAGAGCACATCTATGGTCTTTAAGTACCTTTAAAAGACTTCAAAATCTTTAAGACTGGGGTTTTTAGGGATTTTCAGTCTCGGGTCTCAAAGGGATTACTTGATTTTGATACTGCACCTTTCCTAAGCGGGCAAAATCTCGTGGAGACAGCAAATACTTCTGAAGAGTTTGTAAGTGTTTAATTTAAACGGCTAAAATAGCAAGGTTAGGTTATCCTGTAGTTTCCATGGAAACAATATTGTATTTTGTTCTGAACTTCATTTTACATCGTGCTCCGCGTTCCATTTTGAAAGAATAACAGGTGCCATTGGAATGCACAATGACTTTCACGTGATCACTTTATCTACCCCTACGGTTGAAAAGACACTCATTCAAACCCATTAAACCTGTTAAAATGTTTATCTGCTATAAGTTATTTCATGCGTTCTTTTTGCGCCAGCCTCCAGCTATTGGAATTGCTGAGATCTCAGCCGGACAACCAGCTACTTTTTTTCAAAAACGCGCTAAAAAGTTGATTTTTGAATATGGTTACGTGTAGTACACATATTTCTCTCACACAACTTCCTTTAATTATAAAAATATCTGTAATCCAAGTGCCTCTGCAGTGTCTCTGATGTTGTAATTACTTGGAACCTTTTCAAATTGTAATTGTTGTAAATGTCAATGATAAACAACGTCTCAAGCGTAGAAATTAATTTTGTCTATTTGTAGGTCCTAAAAAAATGAAAAAGTTCAGAACTTAGTTCTAAGTATATCTTAAAATAGCTTTCCCTAAAAATTTCGATTTGTTACTTACAGTTGAATGGACGTGTCAAAATGTTATAACACAAACATGTTTATTGTGCTGATTAAGTGCTGCCAGCAAAAAACGATAATAAATGGTACAATGCCGTTCTCTGCGTTTTCTAGATTGACTGCTAGCGGTTACCATAATTAGAGCGACATCAGTTAGACCTTTTTGTTTTCCGGTAGCAGCAGCTTTACTTGTCTTAATCCGATAAAAGGAAAGCCCTTTCACCAAGAGCGCGTACTTGAAGGCACTCAAATATCGACGTTAATTGCGAGTAGATATATATTTGATCAACTTTTCAATATAAAGTTACGCTCCTCAGTCGAAAGGTACATATAGCTAGAATTGAATTTCTCCCAGCGAAGAGAACTTTATTGCCTTTTAAATGGGTGCCAATAAATTTGTTATAGCTCGAAATGTTCAGGTAACCTTCACATTAGGGTAAGGTTATACCGTTTTATCTAAATCACCTACATAAAGGAGCAATATATTCTTCTTTATATAAGCGGACGCCGCACTACATAAATCTTTGGACGCCTGCTTGTTCAAGAAACACTGTGCTAAGCTAATTTCAGTTAGTGTGTGTAAATCGGCGCTGTAGGTAATTAAAAATGCGTATCGATTTTCGTCAATGTCGTAGCGCCCCACTGAGTTTTCTAATTTCCGTTTTTGTTTAGGATTCTGCTGAGAATTTCTTGGTAGGCTGCCCAATGGCAGATTTTTGAGATTTTAAACAACTTCTTATGATACAAAAATTTTCTCTGGGAACACCGAAACCCTTATACAAAAAAATAATTTTAAAACTTTAATGGATTTCCATTCCTTGTTAGCAATTTTTTTTTCATTTATAAAGTTATGTAATTTCCGTTTTATTTAAGTGCGGAATATGGGTTTTATTAAGTTTGAACGATTTTCACGGTGGCAATCCGTGTTGATATCAAGAGAAAGGCAATTGAGCTATACAGTGCGTGAATTTTTTTAATTTATTTTGCTTTTCAGATGCTGATCAGTTATCGGATATATTTTTACAATCGCAAAAAGTTTTTTTACGTCAAACTACGCCGGGCTGGCTTTTCGTATATCTCATTAGTAAAAAAGTTTCACTTCTTTGTTCAACTTCGTTCTCTTTCATACTAATTTGATTTCTGATTTGACCCCCTTAGTTATGTACAAATACCACAAACTGGAAAGCTTTTAATTGGAAGATCATTAAAGGTCTGTGGTGTATAGAGTCGTCAACCTAAGTCAATGAAGTGGAGAAATTCGTTTGGCTCGAGTAAATACATTAGTGACCACTGCGTGTAAGGCAAGTCACGTATAGGAATTAAATTCGAATAAAATACGGCATAATCAAAAACTTAAGACCATTATGTGCATAGATGAAAGAACCAACCGTAGCAATTTTCTCGTGGAAAAGAAAAAAGAAAACTAAGCCAATAACTTTGAAAACGATTCGAGGGAAATTTATTACAAGGATTTAATTAAACCATTGAACAGTTTTTCCGCATCGAAAATACCAAATCGTTTTACACGGGATTTGCAAATGGTTCACTTGCTCGACCAAAAATTGATCCGGAAATTTAAACTATTAATTATCAGATACTCCCAAAACATGGGTCCACGCGTATAAAACCCGATGCTGACTACCACTGCAGCGTGCAAAATCTCACGCTTTTATGCTTTACTGATATCCCCATTAGGGGTGAAACTGAAAATGTAATTATAAAGGTTGCCTTAGTATAAAGGAAAGGCATGCAAAATTCAATTTGATATCATTATTATTAATGACCATCCAAAGGCTAATTATGAAAGTTTACGTAATAAATACATGCAAATTGATGACGTAACTTACCCCAATAGACGGTGCATAAAAGCATCCAGAACAGAAATGATGCCAGAGATCTCTCCATGTCGTTTAGTTAAGAAAATGAACACTCGCACATATTTTCAAGGTTTACCAAAATTATTATTTGCGCATTTTTTCCACTTTCGCACCGCTTGCTCTTCGATAACATTAGCTTTCCTCATCTATAATTCCGCAAGTTCACTTTGTACGCATTTTTCCACTTCTGTTGAGAAATTGACTATTATTAATTTATAACTAATAACCGAAAGGTGGTAACATCACAGCGGGAAATTGAATACTTGAAGATGTAAACACTAATACAATTGCGTAATTAACACCTACGATCAGTTCCTTGATCTTAAAACTTAGTTCTACAAATTTTCTACACACTTAAGTTTACAGGGAGAGTATTGGTAACACTAAGTATTAGCTATTTGATTAAGGGTACAAAGTTTTTGGGGGTGTTCTCAAAGTTACGTTGTTAAATCGGGTGGCGGATTTGCGCAAATCACGAAAAAAGTCATCATATCGCGGTACGTCAAGATACGCGCACGATAGACGGGAAACGAGTGGCGCCGGGGCGGCAAGCGTTCTACGAATCTTACGGCGCCTGCGTTTCTACCCTTAATTCTATTATGATTATAGTCATTGTTGATAACACAGATTCTGTATTAGCGGTCGCAACGGTCAGCTGCATTTTGTCACTTGATTCTCTGCGTTAATTCGGCGCAACCCAAAAGACGAAAACTAATAACGCCCTTCGCGCAACTACCTTTTTAACGCGTCATATGGGATATTAATCAGTGTCAAATTACTAATTTAAGATCCCTTTACTAGTCAAACAATTTATTAAAGGTAAACCCTTACTAACTTAATAATAAAATGCAAACAAGGGTCAAGTTTCACACGCACCGGAAAATTTCTCACTTTTAGCTGATAAATAGAAATATTCTACAAAACCAGGCAGAATTATTGCTAAAAAAATGCATGATTTATTTCAGACAAGCAACGTGATTTGGTTATTCAAATGACACCACACACAACGCAGGGTTACCAACATACCTAAAGCCCACAACATCAAGTAGAAAGGAATTAACTTCATATATAGTGCTTTTTAACATAAAAATCTCTCAATTTATTATAGAGGTACGCTCTCTCTTAAAGTTAGTTTCATTTTCGACTTAAAGGAATATGTCTGTTATTCGTACTAGCTAATTGTTCTTTATATAGGCATAAATGTGTGTATGTATCAGAATATGCAGTAATAATAATTGCTTTTTAATGAACCTGCTGTATTTTAAAGATAAATAACCTGCGTATATTTTATTTCAGTATTTAATGGTTATCGTTTGCCCATAAATTGTATTCCAACGTCAATAATCAGATTATAAAAGGACATTATTGAGGTTTACCCTAACGAAGGGTTAACACTAACCACGCATACCTCCCCCATAGAAGTATTCAATCAAGCTTGAGTTAATTAGCGTAATACGGCTAGTTTCGAATCATCACGAGATTTACTCATTAGAAGTAGTAATGCTAACGAGCGCAATCTGTGCTTGGAACAGATGTTTTTGATTCGTCTGGGAGTAAATGATTCAACAGTGAAAGGCATTTAACACAAGAGTTCCTTTGTAATTTCCATTGCAAGTGTTACCCCACTATCAATCCGTCTTAAATGCCTCCACTTCACTGCAACCTTTTGGGTTTTGTTGATAAAACAATTTATTTATGCAAAATCAAGGTAATTTGCAACGGTAGTTGCTTTTCATCTTTGGAAATGAGATACCTCGGCTAGTTCTTGTTGAGTTTCTTCACCTGTAAGAGTAAATGGTAATGAGTTATATGTGTAACGGATTATTATCCAATATTCAGTTCTCGTTACAACCTACGATGATGCAAACATTTTGTAGAGCTGGCAACCACGCAATTTTTAGGAAGGGAAAAGCTGTCAGCACCATCTCGATCATCGTTGCTTTTTTGCGCCTGGTTTTACTGGCCATCCAAGCATAGGTCCGTAAATGTTTGCTATTATTTTGTGTTATATAATGCAGATAGTAATCTTTGCGTTTCATTATAATGTTGGTTTTTGTTTATGTTTCGATTACATGATCTTGACTCCAACTTAATATTTTTGGCCATTCTTGTGGAAATGATCGAATTGTTTGAAACCAAATGAGTTACGACGCTCAATGCTGGGACTGTTCTCGACTCTCCTCGGAAATCCCGAATGAGGGCCTATAATTTGCTACCTATCTCGGGGTCGAGATTTTTATAATTAAAACTCTTCGTTTTAGAACCTGTGTGTGATATATGCGCTGTGATTCACTGATTTCCAAATATGTTGTTTTAACATTGAATTTGCCCTGCAAGTCCAAGTAATTCTCCATTTTGCTCTTAACGGAAGGATCGTATTACACCAAAGATGGGTCACATCCTGGTATTTCGCCCTTTCTCAGAATCTTGGTACCTGCTTACCTGACCCATTGTTCCGAAAACTTGTTTTTAACCTATATGTCACCTCTCGAAGCATAGCACATTATGACCCTCCCCCTGAGTCTGTAGGAAATTAAAGGATTATTATTATAATATTATTATTAAGAACGCATGTTGCTCGGTAAGCAGAAGCATCAAATTGTAAATTATCCGCCTCTTTAAAATTGGACCACGCCAAACAGCGGTGGCCAATAGTATTTTAGAGTTTTAAAAGTTTTATCTGCTTCTGGAGTCAATTTTATTTTATTACATTTTTTCGCGCCTTTAGAAAGGTCAGTAATCGGGGCAGAAATGCTTGCAAAATTGGTGTAAATCGCCTATACCATTCTGACATATACCTAAGAACTTTTTAATTTCTTTCAACGTTGTCAGCTTAGGAAATTTGAAAATTGCATCCACTTCGAATGGGCCAGTTCTTAGCCATCTTTGGGTACTATAAACCCTAAATATAAAAGACTCGGGCGAAAAAAAATAGATTTTTCAAAATTAATTGTTAACTTGGCATCTTTGCGTTTAAAATAAACCTCCTTTGAACTGTCGATATGCCCTCAAATGTACAAGAAACTATAATAATATCGTCCAAATAACAAAAAAATATTTTCCCCAAGAAGTGGTCTGAAAATGTTATCAATTAGCCTAAGTTTCGTGGCCGGTGCGTTCCCTATGCCAAATGGCATGACCGTGTATTCAAGCAGTCCTCGTCGATGTACAGTCAATGCGTTTTTTCGGGAAGAAGGAGTTCTTGGTAGAACCCCTGCAATCTATAGAAGATAGATATAACGTGCGTCACAAAGTCTGTCTAAAATACTATTAATATAAGGGAGGAGATATGCATCTTTTTTGCAAGGGAGTTTAATTTTCTACCATAAAAACATAATCGGTAATCTATGGTCTCTTGTTTCTTAACTAATACCATTGATGAATTCCATGGCGAGGTAGATGGTCGGACAATTCCCATTTCTAGCATTATATCTACAAATGAACCTGCATTGCTAAAGATAAAGGGAATTATCTTTGTTCAAAAGGTTTTGCGTCACCCATGTCAATGTAGTGGGTGGCTTTGGTTGTGCGACCTAATCCAGGGCTAGATAACTACATAAACAGATCAATTATTTTATTTAGAAGTTCTTTCTGATCAGGCTTAAATAATCAACATCACAAACTTTGACGGTAGGTACATTAAATTTAGTTTAAGTTTTACTGTAGTACGGTTTTAAATTTCGCATACTTAATATTCTTGAATTGGAAGGATTCTCAGTAAACCTATTGAATAAATCAAGCATTGGTGCAGTAAAAATGGTGGGTTTTTCTTCTTGACCTTGTTTGTGTCTCTTAATTTCGTCCCAAAGTTTATCATCAAAGTTACTAGGTAAGAAATCGTATCGTAATTTAGTTACTACTCCTTTGAACGACCTTGAAAGTAAAATTTGCCAGTGCAACAAGTCACTGACGTCTGATTACCTTGAAAATGGAATGTTACAAAGCAAAAAATGCGGTCATTGACCTTGAATGATCCCGGAAATGAAAATTGACAGCGAAAAATGAGTTCATTGACAGCGAAAAATGAGTTCATTGACCTTGGACGACTTTAAAATCAAACTTTGACACCACAATGAAATGAGCAATTGACCTCTGACGAACTTGAAAATGGAATATACCAAAAAAATGAGACCCTTGAACTTTGATAAACTCGAAAATACAACATGACAACATAAAAGGGTGTCGTTGATCTCTGATGACCTGAAAATGAAATGGGTCAGCACAAAAGTTGAGGTCATTGAACCTTGAAAATGAGATATGACACCGCAAAAATGGAACTATTGACCTCTAATGACCCTGAAAGTGATGAAATGAATATGATACCGGTAAAGAAGTAGAGGCCATTGATCTCAATAACCTTGCAAATGAAATATACCAATATGAGGTTAGCGTTCATTAAGGTCATCAAACTTTGATAACCTTAAAAATAAAAATAGGTGACATTACAAAAATTACCCTTTAATGAACTTGGGAGCAAAAATGCGAAACTGCAAAAAATAGTTATTGTAGCCTTGAAAGTCAAATATGTCCCCAGAACAAATGGGGACTTGCCCTTCGATGACCTTAAAAACGAATGCCCTTGAGCTTCACCTTGGTCTATCTTTCAGTCACCGTCATGTGGCAGGCGGCTCTTAAACTTGACCGTGACCTACTTTCCAGTCACCACCAGGTGGCGAGCGACCTTGAACGGTTTGGGTTCAGCCTTATATAACTACAGTTATAACAACAGTGCGAGTTTTTAAAAATATCAGTAGTGAAATTGTAAACGAGTGCAACGAATTAAAGCAAGGCGAATAAATTGAACGAATCGCTGAACCAAGTGCACGAATATTAACAGTGAGTGATCATAAATCGAAAACTTTCTATTATGGACATTAAAATAAGCAACGCTTTGTTTGTGAAGATTGCAGCGTGTTGTATTGTTTTTACTTGAGATTTGTTTTATTTCAAAGGCTTCCGTTTTGTTTGAGGTCGGCCTTCGATGATCGGCATGAAATTGGTGGGCTTTACCGAATCCCATATTCCAAAACTATTACGTGAATTATATTCAGAAGAAGTGAGTGGTGCAGTACGTCGAACCCAGCTAGCAGGCGCCGATGACACACAGTTGCGTTTCATCAATTTCATTATTAAGTGGCGCGAGTGTATGTTATCAATAACCTCAAAAGGTCTACACGTCCGGTCGGCCGTTCGTATGGTAACTCTTAAAACGTTATAACATATAAAACTCAAAGTTGAAAAAGGGTAGACCAGGATTTATGGAACACGTGTTTAAACTTTTGACTTGGGAGGTGACCTCCTAAAGAAGTGTACAGAAAAACACTTAGCTTAAGAATTAATCTTTAATGTACACTGTCATCGATATAACTCGTAATATTCGAATGCTGAAAACAACGTTGGTTTTGCAAAAAAATATACAGGGTGATTCAGATAGTTTGGGCAAAACTGATAGGGTAGGTAGGGGGGCCCCAGGGGAGCATTGTGAGGATAGAAACCCATGTCCGGAAACGCAAAGGAAA